CTACAGTCACCTGGCCTGGATTAGAAACCTTTCCATCCTGGCAGGCACTCTGCTTATAGAGCCCTTAGGTGGCCAGAGTCAGCACCATACCACAGTGAGGCTTTTTAGAGTAAGATTTGAAATCTATTCAAAGAATTAACTATTGAAGGAATCCTCAAGTAAGACAAAGAAACTTCCTGCAAAACAGTCCTCCAATCTCCCATAAATACGGATTGACTTAAAATGAGGTTTGCTTTGCAACCCACAAGGAAGGCCCTATGGCCAAGGGTCTGTAGCCTGGGGTCTGAACTTGGTTTTTTGCTTGTTTGGTTTGTTTTTTAAATATGTTTTCATTTACTTCATTAAATATTTACCAATTACATTTCAAAAAAATCTTTAACATTGTTTTTTTTTGGAGGCAGTTTTTTTTATTTCTTTAAATAGTATTTTATTTTTTCCCACAATTACAAATCAAGAAAACTTTTAACATTCATTTTTTAAAATTTTCAGTTCCAAATTCCCTCCAGCCCTTTCCCCACCCATTGAGAAGTCAAGCAATATGACATTGATGATATATGTAAAGTTTGTACTTGTTTTTTAAAATTATTTTAGTAATTGTACTTCAATATAATTTGTTTCCTATGTAACCAGTTTTTATCTTACACATTTAAAAACATCTAGGCATCATGGCCATGGGCCTGTAATTCCTGATGCAAGGGAGACTGAGGCCAGTGGTTCTCTTGAGCTCAGGAGTTCTGAGATGCAGTGGTCTGGACCAGTTGGGCATCCCACTAAGTTCAACATTAATTTGTTGAACCCCCAGAAGTAGGAGGCTACCAGATTGGCTAAGGAGGGTCAAAGTGGTGCAGGTGGGAAACAGAGCGGGTCTAAGCTCTAGTGACAATCAGTGTGGGATGAGGGCAGTGACTCACTTTTAAACCTAGCAGAGTTTTAAGAGACCTAATCTTTTAAAAAACAAAACAAAACATTATTCTGAGAAAAGATCCATAGGCTTCACCAGACTGTCTATGACACAAAGTTAAGAACCCTCTGATCTATGGTGAATGTAGGGTATACCTGATTTTTGAGGTGGTTTCATTGCAGGTTTTCCCCTGCTCACTTTTAACCGCTGACTCACCACTTCTGTTTGGTGTCCTGTTGGGAAGCATTAGACCGAATATGAACTCTCTGAGGGCAGACAGCTTCATTTTTGTCTGTATATCCTCAGCCCCAAACCTGGCACATAGTAGACATTAAAATGCTTGTCGATGGACATTTGACCCTCTGCCAGTATTCTGGTCCTCCAGATCTCAGGCTTGCTCTATCTGCAGGGTCTCTCGGGGGCCCTTTCCCCACTCGCTGTCCTTGTCTTGACTTCGTCCTGGCTAATCTTCTTCCCAGAGTCTTTGCTGCCTGACTTCTATAGCCATCACAATGAGCCACCAGCCAATGATACTGGCAGATTGCTGCCATACAGTTTGTATTAGCCTTCAGACCCCTTAGTTCCAGAAAGGGAATGTGTATAAAGAGGTTTGACAATTTGAGGGCATATGAATTTTTAGTAAACATTTTGTTACCTTTGTTTTGGGGTGGGAGTGGTGTTAGGTCTGGGTTATAGATGGAGAAAAACCAAGGCACGCTGAATAAGTTGACATTGGGCCTTGGATATGTGCTCTTTAATTCAGTGACACTGGCCTTTTGGCAGTTCCATGAACAAGACAGTCCATCTCTCAGCTCCAGGCATTGTCTCCAGCTGTCCCCCATGCCTAGAATGTTCCTCCCTCTTCCTTCCTCCCTCCCTCCTCCCTTTTCCTCTCTCCCTCCTCTCTTTTTCTCCCTTCCTCCTCCCTCTTCCTCCCTCCTTCTACTTCCTTCCTCCCTCCCTCCTTCCTTTTCCTCTCTCCCTCCTGTCTTTTCCTCTCTCCCTCCTCTCTTTTTCTCCCTCCCTCCTCCCTGGCTTCCTTTGTGTGCCAACTAAAATCCTGTCTTTTACTGGAAGCCTTCCCCAAACCCTATAAAGTCTAGTGTCTTCCCTCTCTTAATTATTTCCTATTTACCCTGTATGTAGCTTGCTTTGTATATATTTGTTTACATATTGTGTGTCCCCTCCCCACCTTGGATTGTAAGCTCCTAGAGGGCAGGCACTGTCTGTTGCCTCTTAATCAATCCCCAGCATTTAGCATGGTGCCTTGGGTACAGAGTTGTTGTTCAGTCATGTCCAACTCTTTGTGACCCTGTGTGTGGTGTTCTTGGCAAAGATACTGGTATGGTTTGCCATTTCCTTCTCCAGTGGATTAAGGCAAACAAAGGTTAAGTGATTTGCCCAGGGTTACACAGCTAGTGAGTATCTGAGGTCATATTTGAACTGAAGTCTTCTTGACGCCAGGCCCAGCACTCTATCCACTGAGCCACCTAGCTGCCTCCTGGCACACATAGCCACATAATGAATGTTGACTGATTAATTCCTATGTTTATGATGGTGTGCCATCACATGTTAGAGTGGAAAGGGGGCTTTGTAGATCATCTAATCCAACCCTTTTCATTTTGAAGATGAGGAAAGAGAGACCCAGAGAGGTCAAGCAACTTGCCTAACTAAGGTCACACCAGCAGCTAAGAGGCATAGTGCACAGAGCACTGGACCTGCAGTCCTGAGTTCCAATCCCACCTCAGACCCTTATTAGCTAGCTGTGTGACTGTAGGCAAACTCGTGTAACCACTGTCTGCCTCAGTTTCCTCATCTGTAAAATGGGAATAATAATAACAGCCCCCTCCCTCCCGAGGTGGTTGTGAGGATCAAATTTGTGGAGAGCTTTGCAAGTCTGTATAAATGCCAGCTAAGGAACTGAGCTTGGATTGGAATTGAGGGCCTCCCGTCCCAAACACAGTGTTCTTTCTACGCTACCACACTCCCTTTAATACTTACAGTTAACTGACTGCCTCCCTCCCTCCTGTCTTTCTCTCCCTGCCCCCCTAAAAAATCTGCATTCATCTTAGCTCTTCTCTTTGGGAAGGATGGAATGACTTGGGGGAGACTCCCCATTCTCTTAGCTTGTTTCTCCACCGGAGCTTTGTACACTGCTTCATGCTTCCCCCGTAACACAGCGCAATCCAGTCTTCACTTTTACTTTTCTCATGTACTTGAAGATGTGACCCACCATCCCTCCCGCCTGGGATGTACCATCTCCTTCACAAAGGCGCTTTGTCAGAGAAGACACAGAGAGTTCTCTGATCTCTCTGCATCGTATGTACTGTATTAAACCACTCGAGGAGCAAGATTGCCCTCTGCTCACCCCTCCGTGTACCATTTAGCATCACCCTACCCTCCCAGATGTCACCCCAGGGGAAGGGCTCAGTGCCCCCCCTGCGGAGAGCTGTTGCCTTCCCAGTGATGGGAGATAATGACTTTCTTGCAGAGTGTTTTGTTTTGTTTTAGTTTAATTATCATGGAAATACCTCCTTGGGTATTTGTGGAGCCATTCTCTGGGGAACTTGGAAGTGCTTCTCACACAAACAGCCTCTTACTCGCTTGTGCTCACCCAGGGCTGGGGAGGCAGGCTTGAGGGCCAGGAGACAGTCTGTGGATTTGTCAAGGAGCCAGCTGAATCTGTGCAGTTTAATAGATGGCCTACAATAAAGATGAAAACCCGGCTCTTCTCCCCCCTTCTCCACCTGTTCCCCATCATTGCCACAATTCTAGGCATCTTCCTTGCTTTAGATTGGGTACTACTCCCCCCAAGTTATTGGTGCTCCTAGCCCTAACTTACAGTTAATCTAGCCGAGCCCCAAAGGTACTAAGGTAATCTCCTTGTGGGGCAGGGACTGTGTCATTGTGCCCCAGGAATGGCACAGGTGTCTAACTGGTTTAGCGGGTGTTTAATAAATGCTTGTCAAGTGATTGTCTGTTGACATTATGACCTCAACCTCTTGCCATCATGAATGCCAAGAATTAAAGGAATTAAAGAATTCAGGGTCCTAAAAATTTAGGAATGCTATAGAAAGAAGGAAGGAAGGCGGGAAGAAGGAAAGAGAGACGGAGGGGGGAAGAATGTGGGAAAGAGGAAGTGAGGGAGGGGAAAAGGAAGGTTGGTTCAGACACTTAGCAAAAAAAACGCACTTTGTATTTGCTTTACTTTTTTTTTTTTATTATCTGTGTTGTTTTATCCCAATAGACTGTAAGCTCCTTGAGGGCAGGGACTCTTCTGTTTTTTGTCTTTGTATCCCCAGTGCCAGATCCATAGCAGATGCTTGTTGATTTAAATTTCTCTGGTTCAACCTCACTGTTCCGAAGCCTGGCACAGTGGAAAGAATGCTGGATTTAAGGGGCAGCTAGGTGGTGCAGTGGATAGAGCGCCGACCCTAAAGTCTGCAGAACCTGAGTTCAAATGTGGCCTCAGACCAAACAATTGACACGGTACTAGCTGTGTGACCCTGGGCAAGTCACTTAACCCCAATTGCCTAAAAGAAAAAAAAAGAAGCTTTATCTTTTGGGGCAGTTAGGTGGCACCGTGGATAGAGCACTGGCCCTGGATTCAGGAGGACCTGAGTTCGAATGTGGCTTCAGACACATAACACTTACTAGCTGTGTGGCCCTGGGCAAGTCGCTTAACCCCATTGCCTAAAGAATGCTGGATTTAGAGTATTAGTGCCTTGGTTCCGATCCTAGCAGTACTACTACGCCTGATTGATGTTGGACAAATCACTTAACTTCTCTTGCCCTCAGTTTCCTCATCTGTAAAGTGAGGACCGGACAGATCATCTCCAAGCTCCGTTCTAATTCTAAATCTGCTTTTGTTGTTTCTGCAATGAAGACAGATGCTTCGGGTGCTGGAGAAACACTGTAGAAATTCCCCCACCCTGGCCCTGTGTAGTTCTGAGCGTGGTCCAAGGGCAATAAGTGTGTATGTGTTTACTCCTCTGGATTTTAAAATCTCTGCTGTCACATGTGGTTAGGTGAAGGGCCAGGGCCCTGTCAAAAGTTGACCCCTCTCCACTGATCTCAATCTCTTTCTGTCTCTCCCCAGGTTGTCACGACCGGGCTGTCCTGCTATACGAGTATGTAGGCAAGAGAATTGTGGATCTACAGCACACAGAAGTCCCTGATGCCTATCGAGGGAGGGGAATAGCCAAACACTTAGCTAAGGTACCACCAGCTCTGCCTTCTAGACTTCCCTGGGGAGTGATATTGGCAAGGTCATCTTTTTTTGGAGGGGAGAATTTGGAGGTGGCTCAGGAGAGGGGGCGATACGATAGAATCCCAGGAGGTTTTGCAGATGAGGAAACTGAGCTCCCGAGAGATAAAGTAATTTGCCCAGGCTAGCAAGTGGCAGAGCAAGGATTCAAACTCTGATTTTTCTTTTTTTATTCTAAGCCCAGAGCTCTTGGTAATCTGACTTTTTTTTTCCATGCTAGATTACACCTCACTTACAAGTGTTCTTTGTTATTCAGAACCTACTTCTCTCTTTTTTTTTTCTGGCCCAGGTCTACTCTTAATTCCTATTTTTAAAAATAGTGACTAAAATTATATATTTTGTTTCAAAAAAAAAGAGGAAGACAAGTAATTCAACAAAACCAACCAAATACATAACTGAGTCTGATTGTGTTTGTCTATATACATAGAGGTATATCTATCCATCTATCTATATATACACTATTCCACACCCTTAGTCCCCCACCTTTCCAGAAAAGAAAGGAAGAGACATTTTTGTCATATCTTTAACAGAATCAATCTTCTTAGGGTATAAAACAGTGATTTTTCTTTTAATTCATCCTTTTGTATTTCATGAAGGTTAATGTTCAGACTGAAATGGCCACTTTTAAAATCCTCCATCAGAAATAATTGATGAGCGTGGGCAGTAATTTTATGTTACTGCTAGGTGGGTGTTTTAGAATAACTATAATAGTTTCTATGTGGTTTCTTCTATTTCCTTTTCAGACTAGGTTGAGAAGTCCTATAGGCAAGGGTCAAGGTGGAAAAAAGGTTTGAAGTTAAATTGTAAGCTTTTAGAGGTGAAGGACAGTGTTATTTTTTGCTTTGTATTCCCAGCACGTAGCACAGTGCCCGGCCCAGAGTAGAGGCTTCATAAATGCTTATTGGTTGATTGTCTGTTGCCGTTCAGGCCTCAGCCCCTGGCCAAGGTGAAGTGTTATAGGCAGTTGAGCAATTTAGGATGCTAAAGCTTGAGAGATCCCACCCCTAAAAGTACTTAAGAGAAAAAAAATAAAATTTAATTTTTAAAAAATCTTTGCAACAAATGTTACCCAGGGCATTTGCTCTACTTGTGTTGAAGTACTGTGAGGCACCTAAGAGGAAGAGTGACTAGTCCCCAGGACTATCCTGAAGTTGTGAGGGATGGATCGCCTTAACTAGTCTTGGAACCAAATGTCATGACCTGAAGGGTTTATTTTTATTTTCATATTTTGGAGGCAATCAGGATTAAGTGGCTTGACCAGGGTCACACAGCTAGTGAGGCTGGATTTGAACTCAGGTCCTCCTGACTCCAGGGCCAGTGCTCTATCTGCTGTGCCACCTAGCCGCCCCCTGAAGGATTTAGCTGGGGAAATCAGTCTGAGTCAGCCCAGCTCATTAGGACGTAGGGTTCACGTAGGTGATGGGCTTTCTTTGACAGATTATGGGTGACAGCAAATGAAGCCAGAACCTCGCCCCAAAGTCCCCTCTGAATCAGGCAGCAGAGCTGTGGACGCCAAATAGCTCTGCCAGCAGGCCTTTGCATGAAGAGCAAACCAGTTAATAAAGGCAGTGGCCCAAACTGACCTATCCAGAATAGAGCCAACCTGCCCACCTTGAGGGCATCATTGCTCCATTTTGGAGAAGCATTTGGCACATACAGAGCTGCCAATTGGAGAAGTAGAACTTTCCACAGTGACTAGCTGGCCTGCTGCCCTCTGTGTCCAAAACAAAGCTTGGGTCCTACTTTGGAAACCCAAGCTTCATGACAAATTAGAGGGAAATCAGTCTTAGAGGCATAACTTTTAGAGTGAATACCTTGGAGGTTAGCCCTAACTATATTTAGGGGAGGTGAAATGGTGTGGTGGTGTGGTGGTGGTGTTGGTGGTGGTAACCAGATCCTGGCAGGTGTATTCTCTTCTGTCTGTGAGTTGCTAAAAAGGGATAAGAATGTATGAAACATTTGACTTCTCTTCCCCAGATCCTTCTGCTTTCTCTACTGTTTCTTATCTCCCTTTAGGTGAGATATTTGCAAATCATTCAACTTTCTTTCTTGAGTGGCTCTTCTCCTCCCCTGCCCCGCCTCCCATCTTTTTCCTCTTTACATAATTTTTCCATTCTCCCTTTTCTCTCTCAAGATAGAAGGGACTAGGGGCTGCTAGGTGGCGCAGTGGATAGAGCAGCGGCCCTGGAGTCAGGAGGACCTGAGTTCAAATCCAGCCTCAGACATGTAACACTGACTAGCTATGTGACCCTGAGCAAGTCACTTAACCTCAATTCCCTCACCAAAACAAAAGAAAACACCAAGATAGGGAATGAAGGGATGGATACATGCATGAAAATGCATTTATTAAACATTTACTCTGTACTAAGCAGTCAGTCAAGAAACATTTGCAAAATCCTGGTGATACAGATTAAAAAAAAACGGTTCCTGTCTCAAGGAACTTCTTTTTTCCCTTTGTCATTTTATTTTATTTTTTTATTTATCTCACATTAATTTATTTTGAGTTATCAACAATCACTTCCATGAGCTTTTGAGTTTTAAATTTTCCTCCCCCCTCTTCCCACCTCCCTCCCCAAGATGACATGCAATCTGATATAGGCTCTACATATACATTCCTATTAAACATATATTTCACATTAGTCATGTTGTAAGGAAGGATTAGAACCAATAGAAGGGACCACAGGAAAGAAGAAACAACAAAACAGAAGAGAATTAAAAAAAGAGCAAACAGTATGCTTCGATCTGCATTCATACTCCATAGTTCTTTCTTTGGATGTGGATCGCATTTTCCATCATGAGACTTTTAGAGATGTCTTAGATCTTTGCTGAGAAGAGCTAAGTCTGTCAAAGGTAGTCATCACACAGTGTGACTGTTACTATGTACAGTGTTCTCCTGGTTCTGCTTACTCCACTCATCATTGGTTCATGTAAGTCTTCCCAGGTTTTTCTGAAATCTGCCTGCTCATCATTTCTTACAGCACAATAGTACTCCATTACATTCATATACCACAACTTGCTCAGCCATTCCCCAATGGATGGGCATCCTCTCAATTTCCAATTCTTTGCCACCACAAAAAGAGCTGCTATGAATATTTTTGTACATGTGGGTCCTTTTCCCTTTTTTACAATCTCTGGGATACAGCCCTAGGAGTACTATAGCTGGGTCAAGGGGTATGCACAGTTTTATAGCCCTTTAGACATAGGAATGTACATTCTAATAGGAAGAGAAAACACCCATGGGAAAGTGGGTGTCCAGGAAGGGTCACTTTTGGAAATTTACTAGGGGCAGGGTTGGGGCATGGGGTCATAGGGGAGTAGATTGGCACATCCCTTACAGGAACAATGGTAGAATTCATTTGACCCTGGCAGGAAGAAGGGTGTTTGAAGACAAAGGTGTTCAGTGAGATTGTCAAAGATAGCTGGGGATCAGAGGGAAAAATGAAGCATATTTGGAGCCTGCTTGAAATAGTGGGCTGCAGAAGGCAGTCACCATTGAGGAGGTTTCAGAGATGAAAAGTTTAAAACCTTCAGGGCATGGTCTGTGCTCTGAAGTGGCGATGCAGTTGGAGATATTGTTGAGAAGATGGCTAGGGAGGGGAGTGGATATCTTCTCTCTAAATGTAAGTGAAATGAATGAAGCATCAACTCTGATTTATGGGATAAGGAGTCAGAGTTTTCTATTTCAGATATCAGACTGAATTGCAGGTGGGCAGGGGTGAGAAGGATCAGGCATTGACTTGGGTGACGCATGCCCAGCTGAGTATATGTATGAGCTAAGTCTGACCTCATCCCAGCAACTACCAGAGGCCTTGTGTGTAATCTTATCTTCATGGGGCTGTTTGTCATCGTTCTCCACCAAACACCTGAGACATGGTGTACATGGAGAGGACGCTGGATTTGAAGTCATGAGACCTGGGTTCAAAATCTAACGCGATCACAAACTGAATCGTGTGACTGTGGGTAAGTCACTTAATTGAGCCTCATGAGATAATGCAAACTTTAAAGCGCAAGAGAAATGTTGACTCCTTTTTAAAAGGAGATAACCCACCTCACTGGGGTGCTTTCAGCCAAAAAGCAGTAACTATGTACTTGGGGTGTGCTTAGCGTAGTGCCGGGCATATAATAGGTGTTTGATACATGTTTGACTGACTGACTGGTGGTGTTACTGGTACTGTCCCCTCTTTCTTTCTGTCTCCTCCTGGTGGGAACGGGCCTCTTGGATCTGGGTTGATTTGCTTCATTACTGTAGCTGTGCTGGAGGACATCACAGGTGCAGCCCTTTGACTCCTGCCATGAGAGGAGACAGACACATACACCTGATGGCTCTTCTCTCTCTAAAGGAAGAGGATTCAACTTTTCTTTAGCTTATAAAGAATTTTTACTGAAGCCTTCAAGGTGAGTTGCTCCTTGGAGAGCCATGATGGCCAGAGTCAGGAAGACCCTGTGTTCAAGTCCTGACTTTGACACTCAAGCAAATCACTTAGCTTTTTGGCCTCAGTTTCTTCATAGGCGAAATGGGATAATAATATCTGTAGCACACAGAGTAATTGTGGAGCTCAAATTTGAATGCAGAATGTGTCGGTTATTATTACCGAGTTTGAATTCACCCTCACTGCACCTCCTTGGGTCTCAGTTTCCTCATCTGTAAAATGAAGGGATTGTATTAGATGACCTCTATGGTCCCTTCCAACTCTCCATGTCCAGGAGGTTAAAAAAAGTCTGAGTGCAGTGTTAAACCATTAAAGCTTAAAACTTCACTAATAATAATAATAATAATAATAATTGCTAACACTTATATGATACTGTGCCACCCACTTTTAAAAATACTATCTCACAAAAAAAAACCAAGTGGGGGCTGCTAGGTGGTGCAGTGGATAGAGCACCGGCCCTGGATTCAGGAGGACCTGAGTTCAAATGCAGCCTCAGACACATGACACTTACTAGCTGTGTG